TTCCCAAAATTTTTTTCCTCAGGCAGTTTGTCATTTATATAGGAGGACTGCTGCTTTTTATGAGTTAATTTTGTATTCAGCAACTTTGCTGAAAATGTCTATCAGCTGTAAGAGTTCCCTGGTGGAATTTTTAGGATCACTTACATATACTATCTTTTCATCTGCAGATAAAAATACTTTGGCCTCTTCCTTTTCCATTTGTATACTCTTGATATCTTTCAATTCTCTTATTGTTTTAGCTAAGATTTCAAATGCAATATTGAATAAGTCTTGTTCACGGTTTTAGTGGAATTTCTTTGAATCAATTTAAATTAGTGCTGACTATGGGATTGCTGGGGTAAACTGTGTTTATTATGTTGAGTATGTCCCTTGTATCCCTAATCTCCTCAGGAATATTATCCTGATAATATTAGGTTATATTAGGTAAATGATAAGGTAGTTTTTATTTTTCGTATGGTTGATTACATTTATCAATTAATGAATTTCTTTCACAAAACCTATTTGATAATAGTGGAAGATCGTTTTGATATGTTCTTGGGCTTAATTCACAAGAATTTTATTAGTATTGTTGCATCCCATTCATAATGCAAATTTGTCTGTAATTATCTTCATTTGTAGGGTCTTTAAGTGATTTGGGTATCAGGGTAACTGTGGCCTTAAAAAATGTATGAGGTATGTTTATTCTGTTTCAGTTTTGTGAAATTATTTGAATAATATTGTAATTAACTGTAACTCTGGCAGGATTGTGTATGAAAGGCATTAGTCCCTGGGCTTTTTGTTTGGTTAGAAAGCTTGTAATTACCGGTTCTGTTTTGCTAGGGGTTCTAGAGCTTTTGAAATTGTCTACTAATCTTGATTTAACTTTGGTAAATGGTGTGTGTCAAGACAACACTTCATTTCTTTTAGGTTTTCCAGTGTTTTGAAGTACACAGTATTTTAAACATCCTTATGATTCTATGGATTCTCACAGTCTCTGTTATGTCCCTATTTCATCTCGAACTTACTTAATTTTGATATTCTGCCCCACCTTCTAGTTTATTTCTGTAAAGATTTGTCAATCTTATTTGTTTTCTTAAAGAGCAACTCTCTGTTTCATTGATTCTTGGTATTTTTGTTTGTTTGCATATTATTCACTGCAGACAAAAATTATTTCTTACTCTCTACTCATTTTGGGTATGATTTCTTTTGTATTTGCGTTTTCTGTTTTGTTGTTAAATTACTAGTATAAAATAATTTAATTTTTAATGTAGGCACTTAATGCTATGAACTTTCCTCTTAGAACTACATTCATTGTGTTGCATATGTTTGGGTATATTGTGTATATATTTTCATTCTATTTTAGAAAGTCTTTTATCTCTTAAGTTTTGTTCATCCATTTTTCGTTAATTAGCTAGTTCTTCCATGAATTTGTAAGGTTTCTATTGTTGTTGATATCCAATTTAGTCTGTAGTGGTAAGATGAATGGTGGTGTTTCAGTTTTCTTCGTAATATGATGACTTGCTTTGTGTCACATTATGGTAGGATCATTTGGTTTATAATGACTGATAGCACCAGCATTTTTCTGTTTAGTTTTATTTCAATGACCTGTTTATTGTTGTGAATGGGGTATTGAAGTCTCCCAATATTAGTGTGTAAGATTCAGTATTTGATTTAAGCTGTAATAGTGATTCTTTTATGAACTTTGGTGCCCGTATGTTAGGTCCATGGATGTTAAGAATTGTAATGCTCTCTGAGGATATTCCCTTTGATGGAAATGTAGTAGCCTCTCCTATTTCTTCTGATTACTTTTGGTTTGAAGTCTATTTTGTCAGAAATTAAAGTGGCTTCAAGAGCTTTCTTTATGGTCAATTTGTTCAAAATATCTTTTTCATCATTTGCTCCCTGGTAATGCCTATCCTTGATGTTAAAATGTGTTTATTTGATGTAGCCTAAGAATGGATCCTCTTTTCCTATCCATTCCATTAGTCTGCATCTGTTAATTGAGGGACTGAGATCATTGTTTGGAGAGATATCAGTGAGCATTGCTTGTTGACTCCTGCTTTTATCATTTGTGTGTGTGTGTGTGTGTGTGTGTGTGTGTGTGTGTGTGTGTTGCATCTTTAGATTTGCTGGTTTAGGATTTTCTATTTTTTATGCTTTTTGATGTGATTAATATCTGTAGGACCTCTAGCACATTCTGTATAACAAGAATAGTAGATATTGCTTAAATTTGGTTTTATCACAGACTGACTTATTTTTTTCATCTGTTCATTCACTTATGATTTTTAGATTTTCTACAGAGAATTCAGGTATAATTCTAATAGGTCTGCCTTTATGTGTTACTTGGTCTTTTCCCCTTGCAGCTTTTAGGATTCTTTCTTTGTTCTGTACCATTACTGAATGCTATGTGCCAGGTGACTTTCTTTTCTGGTCAAGTGTATTTGGTGTTCTGTCTTATACCTTTATAGGTATCTCTTTCTTTAGGGTAAGGATAATTTATTGTGGTTTAAGCATGTCTACTCTCTCTCTCTCTATTATCCATTACACACACACACACACACACACACACACACACACACACACTGAAGAAGTTTAATATATTGATTATTTTGAATTAAATAGCAGGAACATCTGTGTTCATTTCAAATCCAATGTTTTACTAATAAATTGTCAAGCCCTGATATTTCACTAGAGCTTTCAAGTACAATGCACCTAGGTCATTTTACATTTGATTTGAAATCATATTATACCATTATTAAACTCCTTTCAAGCTATTTCAAAATTCTTTAAAGGATTAGCAATCTTCCTTGCTTTTGTAAATATGTAATTGTAAAAGATATGTTGAAACATCAAGTTTTTTTTCAAAGTTTATTAAATTACGAAAGTTTCCATTTCCGCCCCTCCTCCCAACACCCTCCCACTCCCCCACTCCCCCTCCTCCTCCTTCTCCATCCCTAAGAGCAGTCAGGGTTTCCAGCCCTGTGGGAAGTTCAAGTTCCTCCCCACTTCCTCCAGGTCCAGGAAGGTGAGTATCCAAACAGACTGGATCCCAAAAATCCAGTATATGCAGAGGAAACAAGTCCCAGTGTCATTGTCAGTGACTTTTCAGAAAGGTTCTGGGCCAGCCACATTCAGAGAATCCGGCCACATTCAGAAAATCTGGTTGGATCACATGCTCGTTCAGTCCCAGTGCAACTGGCCTTGGTAAACTCTCATTAGATCAGTCCCCTTGTATCAGTGGGTGATCGCACCCCTCGTGTTCCTGAGTTTTTTTTCATGTTCTTCCTCCTTCTGCCCCTCATTTGGACCATGGGGGGCTCAGTCCGGTGCTCCAATGTGGGTCTCCATCTGTATCGCCATCTGTCATCGGATGAAGGATCTAAGGTGATAAGCAAAATCTTCATCAGTATGGTTATAGGCCAAGGCCAATTCAGGCACCCTCTCCTCTGTCTAGAGAACAATCTGGGGATCTCTTCTTGGACCTGGGATCCCATTTATAATCAAGTCTCTTGTAAACTCTAAAATGACTCCCTTAGTTGAGATATATTCTTCCCTGATCCCATATCCATCCTTCCTCCCTCCCCCCATCTCAGTCCCCCGAGTTTTCCCCATTCCTCCCCTACTCCTTTCTCTCTAACCTTCTCCCCTTCCAACAACCCTCCCACCCACCCCCCATGCACCCGAGGTTACCTGGGACTCTTGTCTATTTCCAATCTCCAGGAGGATAAGTACATGACCACTTCCTAGGTATAACCCCAGTAGCACAGACAATAAGAGAATCAATGAATAAATGGGACCTCCTGAAACTGAGAAGCTTCTGTAAAGCAAAGGACACTGTCAATAAGACAAAAAGGCTACCTTCTGTCTGGGAGAAGATCTTCACCAACCCCTCATCAGATAAAGGCCTGATCTCCAAAATATACAAAGAACTCAAGAAACTAGACAATAAAACTCTAATTAACCCAATTAAAAAATGTTGTGCTTATCTGAACAGAGAATTCTCAACAGAAGAATTCCGAATGGCCAAAAGACACTTAAGGTCATGCTCAACATCCTTAGCGATCAGGGAAATGCAAATCAAAACAACTATGAGATGCCATTTTACACAGGTCAAATTAGCAAAAGTCAAAAACACCAATGACAGCCTATGCTGGAGAGGATGTGGAGAGAGGGGAACTCTCATCCATTGTTGGTGGGAATGCAAACTTGTGCAGTCACTCTGGAAATCAGTGTGGCGGTTTCTCAGGAAACTGGGAGTCAACCTCCCTCAGGATCCAGCAATTCCACTCTTGGGAATATACCCAAGAGATGCCCTATCATACTACAAAAGCATTTGTTCAACTATGTTCATAGCAGCACTATTTGTAATAGCCAGAACCTGGAAACAACCTAGGTGCCCCTCAATAGAAGAATGGTTAAAGAAGGTGTGGAACATATATACACTAGAGTTTTACTCAGCGGTAAAAAACAATGACATCTTGAATTTTGCATGCAAATTGATGGACATAGAAAACGCTTTACTGAGTGAGGTAAGCCAGACTCAAAAAGAGGAATATGATATGTATTCACTCATAAGTGGATTCTAGCCATAATTAAAGGTCTTTGAGCCTATTATTCGAGATCCTAGAGAAGCTAAATAAGAAGGTGAACCTGAAAAAACATCAAGTTTTAATAGGATTTGTAGACAATTTAACTTGGCATATTTTCAAAAGGCACTTTATCTACTTATCTCTCAACTTTATCTGACTCAGGTAAATATGTTATAAACTTAACACAAAAAATCTTTAAAGGACATTTCTTTATGTTGTTTCATTATTAAATATTAAGGATGAATTGAATAGTATGCTACGTTTATACTTGGAACATTGCAGAGAGAGTTTCTTTGTGTGGCATATGGTTTGTAAAGAGTAGTTTGTGTTATCATACCCTTAAATGATAATAATGCACAACAGAATTTTATTTAAGACATGAGCTTACTCTTTTCATTATCTGTATGTTTGTTCCTGTGTGATGTCTTACAGCTGTTATTTCAAGAAATCAAGAAGGTCCAGGAGAAATGGGAAAGGCGGTGCTTATTCCAAAAGATGACCAAGAGAAAATGAAGGAGTTGTTTAAAATCAATCAGTTTAACCTCATGGCCAGTGACTTGATTGCCCTTAACCGAAGTCTGCCGGATGTGAGATTAGAAGGGTAAGTTTGCATGTGCTGTGAAACCTTGTGTGTTATTAAATTCCATGTTTCACAACTTCTGCTCTGACTGTATGAATTTTATACCAACTTGATTCCTGCTGATTATCAAACAAATAACCAACTTTAGCTGAGAAATATAAAGTATTTTCTTTTCAGATAAAGCTAAGTACATTACTTGGAAAGGCATTGAAGATTCCAAAAGCTACTAAGCTTTTAATCCAAAAGGTCATCTTTATTTTACTCTATCTTTCTGAATACCAAACATAGTATTTTATAAGTTATTTTCATATAAATTTCTAAGAATGAATCATAAACTTCATTTGGAAAAATATATACTGGCACAAAATTAGCAAACTTATTGCATATTTATTTGTCTCTTTAAAATTATTTTCTCTTTGGCATGGTTATAGCTGGTGATGAAGCACTTGCCTACTATCATCAAGGTCTTTCATTTAATTTTCCATACTACTATGCAAATTATTATTTGTTTTAGCAATTGTGTTTAAATGCTTGTTCAGTTTTCATTAATGGAAGATAAATTCACTTCTTGAAAATTTTATGTGATAGATTGTAAAATGCTCTACAGAGCTAAACATACTTTAAATATAAGTAATGAAGATCAGAATATTTAGTGGTTGTTTTATCACCCCATAGTCTTTGTAAAACATTCTCAGCAAATAGGTTTTTGTTTGTTTGTTTGTTTGTTTGTTTTTCTAGACAGGGTTTCTCTGTAACTTTTGGAGCCTGTCCTAAAACCAGCTTTTGTAGGCCAGGCTGGCCTCGAACTCACAGAAATTCTCCTGCCTCTGCCTCCTGACTGCTGGGATTAAAGGCATGCACCACTACTGCCTGGCTCATAAATAGTGTTTTTAGCTACACAATGATATTCTTTAAATAAAATTATTTCAATGCTAGTAATATTTGTCATTAATAACAGACTATTTCATTAATATATTTTGATAATGACAATATATTTACTATTCGTGTATTTTTTTCTAAATTGGTTTGAATGGAACCGAAACCTATTAAGGTTCTGGAGCTGGTGATTATTACAGGATTCCTTTGATGAACAAATGAATGGCTCCTTATATCACTATATTGCTCTAAAATGTCTCTTTCAAGAAATGAATAACTTTGGCATGGTAACATATCTGTAAATCCATCATTTGGGAGAACAAACAAAGATGATCTCAGGTTTGAAAACAGCCTGGATCTAGGTAGAATTTTCCAGGCAGACCTGGACACTATGAGGACACAGTGTTTCCAAAACTCTAAGGAATATGGACAAATGCACAAGTCATCACCTAACATGTACACTTTCGTGACTCAGCAAATAAACATTGGGTATTAAATGAATGCACAATGGTACTAATACATTATTTTGATCACTTGTTCCCTGAAATTACAACAAATAAAAGATAAAGGAGTAGAGATGAGAGAAGAGATGTCTCTTTAATAAATGTGATTTGAACAAGTTGCATATACCTTTAAGCACATACATGCTATAACTTTTTTTAATAATCCATAGAAGAGCCGAGTGGTGATGGCACATACTTTTAATTACAGCACTGAGGAAATAGAGGCAGATAGATCTCTGTAAGTTCTCTGTCCTGGAACAGATTAAGTTCCAGGACAGTCAAGGCTACATAGAGAAACCCTGTCTCAAAAACAAAAACAAACAAAAAATAATAGGTAATAATCCATACAGTGATCAAATACTTTACATATATTAAATAACATAAAAATAAACATGTGTTTTATTACATTATTTTATAAAATATGTGCATATATTAGTTTTTCATAAGAGTGGAAAAAATCCACTTTTTTCTTACTAAGACAGTTCAAAATCCAATGACACCATAATTTTTTTACTAGCTCTTTTAGAAGTAGAGGAAACAATGAGTCTGATGGTGACCAGTGTGCTAGGAACAGATTCCATTCTACCACGAGGATGGAGGCAGATAGGAAATCGTTCTTTAATCATGGAGGAAATCATATAATCTTAATTCATGACTCCATGCCTCACTTCTGCTTCTTAGCAACTCATTATTTTTCTTAGCCACAGACACTTTTCACTGCTTAGACCCACTAATCAGTCAATCAGCCAACCAGCAAATCCCTGTTGTTAAACTAATATAGGTAGCCTTTAGAGCAACTAAATCGTAAGACTGGGCTTGATGAACAATGAAAAACAATTATTAGTTTAAAGACTAATTATGGTATTTTATGAACATTTTTATAATTGGAAAAAGTAATGGATACGGTTGTCCTAATTCTTAATGATATGCATATGTAAAATATTTCAGTTCACTATATTATATTGCTATTCTGTGGAATTTTTTATGCCCTTTATCTACTCTTTTAGATTTAAGAAGACTTTTAAGGTTCCAACTTCTCTTTCTACTCTGTGATTATTTTTGAGTAAGACATTAACGATTAATGTTGATTGAATATTTATTTTAAAAACTCCAAGCAATTGAAATAAGCTGACAAAGCTCTATACTAGAGAGCAGATATTACCAACACTCTTAAGGACTGGTATTGAGCTACTTGAAGGTTATAATGTAGCTGGCATTTATATATAGTTCATGAGTAAAATCAGGAAATAGGGAATTCATTGCAAGCATTTATATCCTAAACCAACTAACTTCTTATGCATGCACACTTACTAGCTGATAAAGAGAGACGACTGGCATTAGCCAAAGAAGACCCTTGGCATACAAATTTTGAGTAAGTTGTTCTCAAAAGAAAAAGGGTTTATTTACTCCCTGAGATGTAAACAAGTCATACTATATATTTTTCTGTGCTCAGTCTCAGGAGTGTGTGCCTATTCATATAGATTGTCTGTCCCATCAATTAAAATATGATAAATGAAGCAGTGACTGCACAAAGGAGAATGAGAAAATGAGAATATTAATTGAATTTCTGATCTCTCTTCCACATCTTTTCTTTTTAATTTGAGAATTACTGTAACTCTCATATGCCGGTGAATTTTTTCCTGTAAAAATAATAATGACCATTATAACACGCTGGCATATGTGCTCATGTGTGGAATTAATTTCATTACTCAACTTATCAACTCACCCTTTCCTTCTCCTTGCCTCACCTCTCTTTGTGTATTACCTTGGTGATAGCAATTCTATTATCCTGTAAGTGTTCTTTCAAATGAAAAACTAGTATAAACCTGTTTATTCATGGTTTGGGAACACATTTTATTGCTGCTTTAGTCACAGAGCCTGCCACATCACCTCATTTATACTCATCTAGCTTTCAACTACCCCCATGTATAAGCCAGTTTTTTAGTTACTGTTAATCTTTAATAACTACGATAAAACATATGAAACATAAAACCATCCTATGTGTTTTTCAATGACAGTTAAGTAACAGTGAGTTTAAAGGAGTGCCAAAATGTGCTAGCTCCAAACATTCAACTTTATGACTAAGATCAATTTTACCTGATCCTGACTGAGAAAAGTGTCTTGGAGAGAGCAAGGGTACAAGGAACATACTTAAACATAATAAAGGCAATATACAATAAGCCAACATCAAACAAAATGAAGAGAAACTCAAAGCAATTCCACTAAAATCAGGTACAAGACAAAGCTGTCCACTCTCTTCTTATCTATTCAGTATAGTACTCGAAGTTCTAGCTAGAGCAGTAGGACAACAAGAAGAGATCAAGGGGATAAATGAGTAATGATATACTTCCTATTCACTATAACTGGGGGAGGTTCATAACTCATTCTTTTACATGTGATTATTTGGTTTTATTCATAGTGTTTGTTGAAAACCTATCTTCTCTCATTACATAGTCTTGGCCTCTTGTAAAAAATACTTGACTTTGTGCATTAGAAATCAGTCTACCTTTATGCCCACATCACCCTGCTCTGATGATTGTAGTATTGTGGTTAATTTTGAAATCAGGAAATGTCAAGCATCCAACACTGTGATTAACCTTTTTAAAGGATGACATTTTCTTCCTTCAATTTGAAACTTAGCATTCACGTTTTGTTTGCTGTTTTATGTTTATATTTAAAATCTTTTATATTTCATTTAACATTTATCACGATCTAAGGGCAAACACATGAACACTAAGAAATATATAATTCTCTATTGTGCAATGTACTTTCTAATATTTACAACCTAGCAGTGATATTATAAAAGTAACATTATGGAGAGATGAGATGAAATACAGCTTTGTGGGAGTTTTATTTGGAACTAGGCTCTATAAGATAGATATATGAAACTAGCCTAAGATATATTGAGAAAAGCTTTCTGAGTTATAAAGAGAAAACAACAGAGGAAATCAATGCTGGATGTAATAGAACCAGTGGAAATAGCAGTTAAGAATATTGGTTCAAGAAAACTTATATATGACCCCTGGCAATTGTCATTTGTGTAAACAGCTACAATCTATTATGTGAATCATTTGTATGTGTATTCTTCATTCTTTATTATTTTGATCTAAAATGTGTTTTTATTGCAACTGTTTGATGGCTTTAATCATGACAAATTAATCATTTAATTATAATATTGCCTTGCATGTTTTTTACTGTAGCTTAACTACATTCCGCCCCCAATTTCCACCCTTGTTCCATCCCTTTGCCTCAGCTCCTCTACAATCCCTTCCTCTTCTTTGTCAGTCCATTTCTTAATTTTATTTCCCATAGTTTCTACTTATGACATAAGCATACAAAATTTTTCATTGTGTTTGTGTGATTTTATTTAACATGATAATATATATTTCTTTACATTTTCCTGAATTTGCTTTATTTCAAGGTGACACTCCATTGTGTATACATGTCATATTTTTTTCAACTACGAATTTATCTATACACTACTTGATAATTTTCATATTGACTTTTGTGAGTATGCCAACATAAGACAAAATGGTATGAAAGATTCCCTTTTGTACACAGGCATCATTTTCTTCACAGAAAGTGAAAACATTGGATATATTTTTAAATTTTTTGGAGGGATATCTGTAATGAAGGACCTCC